GCCTAGCTAGTTGGTTAGCTCGGCTGCTAACTAGACAATATGATAGAGTAACACATTAATTTGGGTTAAAAGTTGGTGTTAAGATTGGGCGGTGTGACACATATAATGTATGGCTTCCATTTTTCGACCCTCTGGCTGTCAGATCCGCCAAGTGTCAGCACTGCCAAGAGTGTTTGAAAGTCAGCCACACAAATTTGCATGTCAAAGTTCACCAACATTGCACAAAAGCTCCCCGTGGATTTATCTATTTTTATCTTCTGATCATGGCAGTTCTATTGTAATGAATTGATTTTAGTCCATTATAAATGCTGGTGTGACTGGGCCCATAGAAAGCTTCTGTCCCTCCAGTTCAAAGTACCAGCTCTTGGCTCAGAGTGACATCACTGTCCCCCAGATTACATTGATTTTGGAGAGCAGGAGGGGCCACCCTGACCCCCTCATCCCTCGAGGCCATCCTGAGCCACCGCCACGTCTGGTGAAAGTGTGAGTCAAGGATCTCACAGCCAGGCTGTTATGCCTCCATCTGGGCCCTTGAATTAAACATCAGCTGTAGGCAGACGGGCTCCCTGCCTCAAAGCTTGAGGGACCAGGAACTGAGGCCAATTAACCCATGCCCAGTCTATTCAGACCTTACTTTGTAGCCAATTAAGAGGGCATATTACAGAAGGGGATGAAAAGGGATGATAAAAACGGTTGGGTTTGATTTGACAGGCACACAGGGTACTGTTTGCATAAAATAATACCAACTGAAAGGATCATTTTGTCCTTGGCAATGATTGCAGTCATTCTAAACTGGAAAGTAAACATGTTAAAAATCCTGAGGATAATCATTAATAATAACTGAGTGTATTCTTAGCTTCCAAGAGCACCAACAATATTTGCTTCCAGTAATTTGAGAATAACTTTATCCTTTTTTGTTGAGCAGTTGAACACTGAACTTAAAAAATCTTGCTTCGACATGAGACACATTATGTCACAGTTTCATCAGACACCAGTTTGTCTTCAGTGCAGCTCAGTTCCTCTTCTCCAAGTCTGACATCTGTCTAGTGTGAGGAAATACTGCAGATGACACAAGGACACGAAACAGCGTGAATGTCAAGAGCAGAAGTGAACAGAACCAGGACAGTTGTTTTCTTCTCCCATTGTACCAGATGGAAATGATCACAGATGTGATCTGTTTGTGCGTTGTTATATTGCACAGTAAAAAGGCACAAATGAGCAAATCATGTCACGAAAGAATCCTTATTATCTGTTATATTTGTTATGGATAATTTAAAATTGACTTTTATAGAGGAGCTATGAGGTGTAAACACCAGTTTCACTAGATTGTGAGTGGGAGAAAAAATAAAAAACATTTGTGGGTTAACAGGATGCAGACACTGGTTGGAACAGTGCCATGAGTGTCCCCAAATAATATGTCTAGGATTTATCTTCATACTGTGCAGGCTGTAAGTATTAGGACAGTGATATGTTTTTCATTGTTCTGGCTCTGCTCCAGCACCGCACTGAATTTCAAATGAAACACTTTCTATGAGGTCAAAGTGCTGACTTTTAACTTTAAGGGTGTTTGCGGATGTTCACATTGATATTGGATGATCAGAGTTGGACTTTTTACCTTTGGTAGGAGGGAAGTGGGATACTAGGATACAGTTCCTTCATGGTTTATCGAATGTGAATGTAAATAGCCTGTTAAAGATGAAACTTTAACCTCATGGTCAAAACGCTGACTTTCAAATGCGATATGCTGAATCACAGGGGCATAAAAAAGAATAAAAAAAAAAACATCCCAATACTTACAGACTGCAGTGCATGTAAAACATTTAGGGGTATATTCAGTTTGTATTGCCACAGTTAAGAATCTGAAATGTCCATTGACTCCTTCAGAGCAATCTTCCTCATAATTTGCAACAATTTATTCATGAAAGGTGTTTAATGTGTGAGAGTTTCAATAAGGTATACGAAAGTGGTATACAATAAGGAACCAGATGGACCATTATATAAAACCCTATCAAAAAAAAAAAAAACATATAAGGATTTTCATTTTCCCAATGCATTAATCATTTGCTGGCAGTGCTGACACAACTGCAGTGGGTGCTGATACAGGGAATGTAAAAACCTGGGTGATGAAACTCTTCCAGTTGACAACCTTTGTTGCATTTCTGTGTAAGTTTTCGTTGCCAGGTGCTGCAAGATGGTACTGGTATTGCAGACTCTTCTTTGGCTCATGTCAGCTATGATATAAAACTCAAGCACACCATATGTCTGCTCACCGCTTCTTAAGCTCGTATCTGTGAACCTGCTGCTTATCAACTCAGCACGCACGCACGCACACACACACACACACACACACACACACACACAGACACAGACACACACATGTTCCTATTTGAGCTGGCAGGGAAAATTTTTGAAGATATAATCTTTACAACATTTGTAACCAGGAATTCATTGCATTCAGATCTCACTACGCCCCCCTCTGAATAGCTAACATTTTACATCAATATGTTCCCCCAGGGGAGGAAAACGTGTAATGATGGTGAAACTAAAAGAAACAGGTGTTCTTCTCTTGCTCTGGGTATCTGTGAAGGTGTTGAGAGTTACAGAAAGATTGTGAATCACTGCTAATTGCATGAAATTACAGTCGTGGGGGTGCAAAATGAATCTATTGTAGCTTGAGCCAGCATAGTTACAGTCGTACCTTGGAGGGCATGAATTATTGGAATGATGCTAACTGAACAATGAGTGGCTGGCTGGGAATGCTGTAGGGGTTTTACAGAAAGATTTACTTGATTATGATGTTTGGGGTGAATTCAAAAGCAAATTATTTATTTAATTACATGAAAATGTGCCAACTCAGTTTCAAATCCACCAAATTAAAAACCTGAGGAAGATGAAATTAGCTAAAGCTATTTGCCACTTGGAGACTTTTTGGATTAAAACCACTGATCCAAATGCAGTCAGAATATGATTGGGTTTGGCTGGAGCCTCTGTGATTGTGTGTTAAAAAGTAAAAGGCTGTTGTGCGACTTTCTTTGAAGGAAATAATCAAATTCAAATTTTAATTGACAGCATAACCACCGTCTCTAATGAGAAAATATACATACTCTACAGCTGCTCAACTGAAGCCACCAAAACAAAAGCATTTGCAAAAGATATTCACATGAGGCGGTGGCCTCTCATTATTCAGCTGCTTTATCAGGAAATGCAGCCGTGACTAAACCAATTTAGAGTCGACAAATAAAAGTCATTTGTATTGTTTGACAGACAAAAAACCAATAACCAGGATAAATAATGGAAAAGCCAACAGGGAAATATCTGACTGATAATAAATCTTGGAGCTTCTTTCATATTATTTCAGTAACTTAATATAAATACTGTGTAGATATTGTACTGTGTATTGCTGGGTGCACTCTGTTTGCAGAACACATACATATCAAGCTGAGGGCTGGGTTATTCATGTAGTGTCTTTCAAATTCATATTTATATGTGAAAGGTCTGAGATGTTAGCCTCTGCAGTTTGATGTAAGCCAAGATTTCAGATAAGCACAGGCTAAAGTAACATAAAGAATGAGTCAAAGCATGTGTTGTGTAACATTTCAAGAGTTAAAGCCGCATTAAATAAAATTTGAACCATGAGAACCAACAGTTGCCTCCTCCAATACCCAGCAGTCAGACAGCAGCATGAGCATGTCACTGCAGTTGTGTGTCTGGCCACCAGACAAATGTCCAACACTGACTTTATATTTCCTTGTTTTGTTTCTTTGTTCTTGTCATCTCATGTTTGATTTACCAACTGCTGAGAATAATATCTGCGTTTTTGCTGCTCCACTTACTTAAACCAGCCAATCGGCCACTTCAATTGAAGGTCTCCATTTCAACCTGGGCAGGTATGACGCCCTCTGCTTGTTTGAGCTTGTTTGCTGGAGGTAATTCTCGGTGGAAATACTGGTGACATTTTTAATAGTACACTATGTTTTGATTCACTTTCAAATGTAGCACCACAACTTTAAGTTTCAATTGGCAGTTGAGGGGCATGGGCTTCAGTTATTAGCCCTCAGTATCTGGACTAGAAAATACAATCAACAGATGGACATCTACCACTTTGGTGGATAGGTCTGCCAGGAGTTAAACAGTCTGACTAGCAGGCAGTGTTTTGCATGACATGTGCCAGCCAGTGTTTGGCCTTGGACTCTATGTGAGTCTATGTGACCGCCGGGTCTGTGGACAAAGCACAGAGAATCATCAAGACAGATTTCAAAGGGAAATATTGTACTTTTAATTCCACCATATTTACTCCACTATAACTATTTGATAACTTCAGTCACTAGTTACTTTCCAGATTCAGATTACTAATATAAAATATAAAATATGATAAGATCAGATTGATCCCTGGAGGAAAATCCACCAGATACGTAGCAGTATTTAAAGTAACTGAAGAAACCATTAATTAATGTATCAGTAATTATAATAATATAGCCCTGTATACATGATTCAGTAATTGGCCATTCTTATAATTATTACTTTTACTTTTGGTGCTTTAAGTATATTTTGATGCAAATACTTTTGAGCTAGTGTATGTTTGTATTGAATAAAACATCCCTCCAACAGGTCTAACATTAACAAACCAGAAACTGAATATCTATAAGTTACATTTCACAATATACTACAACTCATTTATTTAAAGGTTTCTAAAAATAGAAGTTTCATGTGGTTTTTAATGTTTTTTTAGGAATATTTTGACCACAGTTGTTTTACCATCATACAGGTCACGCTCGCAGTGAATTACGTGCGTAAGACACATATTTTCTAAATATATATTCCTGTGACTTACTCACAGAAGAGGAAAATGTTAGTTTCCACATGACTGTGACAAAACAGAAAAAATATTGTCTTCTGAGAACTGAAAGTAGACTCTTGCCAAATAGTTTCCTTCCAACTGATGGCTCGCTTCTCTTAAAGGACTTGAACTTTGTTATTAATGTGCCACTTATATTCTGGGCTGCAAATGCAAGGACTCATCTTGACAGGATTGCCTCTCGATCACGGCTTGATAGATTAGACCGAGGGATCATGAAATGCTCGAGTGATTATTGCTAATTTTTTGACCATATTCAGAAAGGATACCTTGGTCTACCTTGTATATCATGGCGTGTTTTGCTGCAACACTTGGAGTCATCATTCTGTCAGGATTCATCAACCTGCTCTCAGCAGCAAGCAAAGACACCTGTGACCTCTCCGCTGCTGTTGAACAGAGTCTGACTCTGCCTCTGGGCTATGAAGGGCTGGCAAACACACATGTGCTGAAATGGACTCACAACAACACACTCATTTTTTACAGACAGCAAGGCAAAGTGTCTGTTGGAAAGACAGAGGACATTTCTCCATCCGGATCTCTTCTGTTGAAGAACCTACAATTCTCCAGTGCAGGCGTTTACCAGGCAGATGTGCTGCATCCAAATGGTACTTTAGCTAAAACATGGAGTGGTCGTCTGTGTGTGATGGACAAGGCGCCAAAACCTCAACTCACTTACGTCTGTGACTTCAAGACTCGTGCTGTTAATCTAAATTGCAACGTGGCCAAACCTCAGGGTTTGGTGTTCTCGTGGACACTTGATGAAAAGACATTAACAAGCGAAACCAGACAAACATTGAGCATATCATTGGAGCAATTAAAAGGGGAGAGGAGCTTCACATGTAGCGTGGCAAACAAAGTCAGCAAGGAGAGGAGTGACACTGTTCGACCAGCCTGTAAGAGTCCAACACCGTCACCACCATCACCACCACCTTCGCTTTGTTTTAAATCCAAAACTGTTGTGGCAGTGGCAGCAGGAGGAGTAAGTCTGATTCTGCTTTTGCTCATCATTATCATCGTATTATGTTGCTGCCACAGACGCGACAAAACCCAAATGAGACTCCGAGAAAAAGGGGAACTCAGAATGCTTTCTCTGACCAAGCGAGAACCCGACTCCACCAGCCCAGTGTATGAGACGATGCACCCGAGTGAGGACTCTCCGCCCCCGAGCCCCAAGCATTCACAGAGAGCCTGTTACCAGAATGTTTCTGAGCCTGAAGCTCAGATGGTAAACAGGCCTTTACAGTTACCCACAGCTGCTGAGGAACAAAAACCTTCACCTGTGCCAAAGCCGAGGACAAAGAATCCCCAGACATCAAATATCTGAAGGAGCCTCCCTCTGCTGCCATCCCAGAAACTTTCAGGGACTGAGACAAAAAGACATTTGTGGCTTGATAACATACAACTGAACCAAAATGAAGAAAACTATTCAATTCCACAGTTTTAACCTTGATAATATTTATCACTGCAACAGTTTGGTTCATACTGTGCACTGACAATTGAGTTATCTGTGTCTAGGATCAATTTGCTAAGTCACGATGTGCTGTGGGCCTGGGAAGAAGAACATTTGTTTCTTTGCAAATGTAAATGTCTTGGTTTGTATATGTTGAAGTTTCATTCTTTAATGTTTTAAAGTTAGCCTGTATAGTTGTTGGGGTTGTGGGTTGGTAGGGATATAAAGGAGGTGTCTGATCCCTGGCACATGTCATGATGCAATCAACTGTGATGGATGAATTTCAGTTTTCATGTTATCTTCTTTGTTTTATGATTAATTCTGTAACTGCAGAGCTGATGTGTTTCCATGTTACTAATGAAGCAATTTCATTTCTAGAAAAAAAAGGAGATTTTTGTGTAAAAAGGTTGTAGATAAAAGTAATAGATTAAATGATAAAGCTGGTGATATTCTGTATTTTTCTCAAAATGAACTAATCCCAAAACCAACAAAGCATTTATATATACACATTCATATTTATATACACATATATTCTGTCTTATTTTCCAACTTCCTTAATGCTATCTGTGGCACTCAGCCTCAAGCTGATTGGTTCCAACTGAAGACGTAAATCTTTAAAAGCAGGTCACAGACATAAACTTTAATACTTAAAAAAAAAGGCTACATACTTTTCTAAAACAGCAGGACGCTGTTGTTTTTAGCAAGTGTTTCTCAAACAAGAGCATATTATGTGGGACTATTTGGAGCGACAACACTTTTGTTGCTTTAGTGACTATTTCCAACCGCAGGGATGTGGATTTGGGACTGCCTGAAAATAAACTGCAGTCTTCATGGTAACGAAGGTACATGTCACAGAGGCCAACTGTCTGGCTCATTTATGTGTTTATAATAGTTTTTGAACTCACAGCAGGATACGTTCCAACAGCATACGGATACACAGGCGGCATTTGTTTGCGAGAGTTTGTCAATAAGAAAAATATAGAATCTCAGCAGACTTATCTTTTAACTTTGTCTTTATATTAATTTGTATATGAAAACTGTAGCAAAGACAAAATGGACGCAAATGTGAAAAAAACAAACATGTCTTTATGTCCTCTGTCTGAGATACTTTACCCATTAATCTTTCAAGATTAACAACTGAGTTCTCTGTTATTGAATCACATTGTATGTTTACATATACGGTTTGGAATAAATAAAATTGATCTTTATATCTCCTGTTTGTATGGAAAACTACATTAAGCGGCTTATCTGTGTCAACCACAGCCCTTTGTTCCGGCTTCTTACATGTCAGCATTCTTGCACTTATTAAAATTTGCTTGCTTGCAAGAAGTTATTAAAGGGGAAAAAAATCAATAGAGGAATGGATTAGCTAAGGCAAATATCTATTATCTCCAATGGGTAAATGGTAATCCACACATGAAAGTGTTTGCTGTCTCGCCTAATGCTGTGTGACAGCCACATAATGGAATCCCCCTGAGCGTCATCGCCTAAAACTTACAAGCCAATGTCATCTTTTGTCAGGCCCCCGCTCCACTCCTGCTCTCTTTACATGGCTGAAATTTCAGTCCAGCCGGCAGGGATTTGGCAGTAAAGCTGGTATCTGCTCCTGGAACAATGTCATTTGTCTTTCTTGAGAAACACTGAGACTTGGCTGGCAACATGCCACATCACTTCCCCTCACCAGCTAAAAATGTACAGGATATACATAGACAGACAGAGCAACACACATGCACATACATAGGCACGCGGTATTCTCACACACACCCTTCACATACACACTAAAAGGGAGTGTATTTCATGATACAACTTAATGAAACACATCTCATATGTCTTTGCCAGATCTGCACTGGAAATGGAAGGGAAATACTTCTGAAATGTGTTTAATCAGTGGCTCTTGGAGTCTAGAGGATATACCCTTTTGATCTTGGAGTGTGTGTGTCCAGGAAAAGGGTCAATTACCCATGGAAAGTATTTATACTCATGTCAGATCATTCTTATTACAGTTCTGTAGTTGTCACGGGCTGCCAAGTCTGGGGAAAGCACAAACCAAATCAGAAAATCAGAGTTCAGCCAGCGCAGTGGCCTTTTTCATCAGATTTGTCTGAAAATACAGAGATGATTATGACCTATTAGCATTCTTGAGCTAACACAGCACTCTTTGACCTCAGTCCTTTTTCTGAAACTTAAAGCATACAAAGTAACTGAAGCCACAATCTTCCAATCAATTCCTAATTTATTGAAAAAGCAAAATGGCCAATTACTCTTGAAAATCAAACAGAGACTTTATGAGTTTGAATACCACGTTCTTTAAAGTAAGAGTCTTTAAAAGTTGTTCCATGTGGAAAATGAGCAGAAAGCTTAGGTTGAGGTCTTGCTGAACACTTTGTAGGATTGTATTAAAATGGTGTTAAGTCCCTTTTCAAATGTCTCATGAAGCATCAAATTCACACTACATGTACATCAGTCCTGTGTATTTTCTCTCCTCCCTCTCTACACCTCACGGTTTTTCACACACTTTTTGCACAGGCACTTTGTGGACTGGCTCGGCACAGTCTGCGGCTGCCTGCAACACACCAAATCAATTTCCGAAATTTGCTGAGGAATCAGGCTGCACTGATTTTTAATGGAGGAAGAATACTTTCCAGACCTCAGCAAGATTTAGCACCTCACAGTCTGGGACAAATGCACAGAGCACATACAAGTCTTCTAACATCTGACTGAATCTAATACGATTTGTTAAACCTCACCTGACCACAAATTCAGCCATCCTCTGCAGAACCCACTGACTGGTTTGCATTAGTTTGTGTGTAAAGCCCTTGGTACGTTCTTAGCAGCTACTAGCTAGTTACAAACTAGTAATCTACAATGTAAACAGAAAGTCACTGTAACTTCACCAGCTAAAACCAAAGCAAACACAACAGTTCTGTGGAAGTTAAACGATATATAACTGCCAAACCTTTGTAAATGTAGGTCTGTCTTTGTTCTTTTCAGAGAGGGCAGTATTTATTTATGATTTTGGGCTACATAGAAGGAATTGACTTGATACAGGCCTACTGTTTAGAATTAGTTGGAAATATCTGACTAATCTGACATTATTGATATCATGTTTTGCAATTTGAGGTATATTGTGTTGTTTTTGTGAAATGTAACTTAAAAGCTTCCCATTTTACATCATTATGATTTGGAAGTCCAATCAAGTATCACATCAGATTAGCCAACTGGCTAATATATTAGCTAGTAAATATGGGTGTAAATATTAGTAACAAGTAATCTCTACATAAGAACTAGTTTGTGTAACGTGTGAGTGTACAACTACAACTAAATGTACATTAAATCTGAACTGACAAAGAACTGGTGCAACTGCCTCCTGGGATAGCAGGGATTTAATACATGATATGTTTTCAGTATTCTTTTGATTCTGTTAATCTAAGAATAAATGCACAAACCACATTACAAGCAGGTACAAACGTCAGAGCTTTAGTGGATAGTTCATGTGACATTACAGTGAAGATAAAAGTGCCAGTGAAAGCAATAAACACTGACGACAGCTGTACCTTTGGGAGGGATTTTCCATGCAGTGTCTTCACCAGCAGGACAGACATGGTGGATTAAAGCCGTGATCGTCCAACTGGAGGACCTTCGGTATGAGTCCTTAAAGAACCTGAAAAGTATTGCATGTTGCTTACATGAATTATGCACAGGCTGAGAATCCTCTATATATGAGCACATCCTTTCCTAGGAAACTTTGTTATGTGTGGTTCTTTGTCATGGTTACACAGGGATAGCTTTTTGAATCTCTGTTTATAGAAGGATTTTGTTTTACCGGATTTCCCTAGCAGAGCAGTTCCTCATTCTGTTCTCTGCACTCGTGCCAAATACTTCATCGTTGTCTACTTTGACATGGTGGAAGAGTCTCCTGCAGAGGCTGATTCCACGAAAACCCACGACCAATAGACTTCCAGCATTTCTCTGATCTGCAGCCTAACAATTTCAGAATTTTCATGGATAACCAAAAACTGCAACAGCACATGTTTTCAACAGGATTTTGGAAGAAAATTAACAGATTGATTTCACTTTCGTGCTCTCTTCTATCCGAGGGACAAATTCACATTTATCACCTTAGAACCAACTTTGCAGAGGCCTAATGAGAAATTCTAAAGCATGTAGGAATCATATTGATACCCTATCATGTGTCCAGGAAATGAGACACAGGGGTCATACAGGATGAAGAGATGGACAGAATCAATGTTCAGACCATATCAGCAGTGAGTAGAACAAATATTCGCATAATTTCATTCTAATGCCTCAGCAGCTGCTCTGAGCCAAAGGGCCTGGCGTGTGAAAAGAGAAAAGGCTGGGAAAACAACAGCCCTTTGTCAGACTCAGACTTAGACAGGAGCGCTGCTGCCATATAAAGCCAATGAAGGAATGTGACAGCACCAAGGTCTACAGACATGATGCAGAACATCATTGCTCTCAGCAGAGATGGTAAAAATAGTTCAGTGCAGCAAAGAACCACTGTAATGTGTTGTATTGTGTATTCACTGGTTAAATGATATTTGTAATATATTCGAAGAGTCTGTACAGACCTGGGAATGTTGAGTAATGCGCTTTTGTTTTGCTTCGTTTTCCTCATCGCCATGTGCCTCTCCCAATACTGATGCCATCTTTTAACCTGTCAGCAAGGAGCTTCGTCAGAAGGTTATAATGTCGGGGAGTTTAGCTATTTCCCCCTGACCCCCACACACACCATTCTCCATGCAGTAGCCTCAACCAACGTGGTTGTGCTAGTGCAGCGACACAGACTTGTTCCCTCACTGGTTTCCCAACTACTGGTGTTCACCACCCATGCAAAGGTACTCAAGACAATTACCAATACCAAACTATACATAATTCAGTAGTTGAGATAATAAGCAGCTAAACCTCAGAGCTGCTGCAACATGATAGGGCTGTCACTTTTCCAAAAAGTTTCAAGTTTGAACAAATTCTAATGAATTCAGACATATGGTCGCATCACCCCATAATGCTTCTGGATGAATGTGACAAAAAGCAGGCAGTCAGACGAGGTAATGTAGTTGACTTTGCGCCATTCATTGAGTTTGACATATGAGTCAGACTCAAGTTTGTCGTCTTTGTAAAATAAGGCAGATGCATTTCACAAAGTTCGCGAAGAGCCTTATCCTTGTTGATAATTTTACCATCTACTTTCACACAATGTTTCACAGATGCTTAGTTATCTGATCAATACGGCTTTACTCGCTAGTCCTCCACCATTATTGTGGGCTTAGCTTAATGAAAGGTCAACAGGGTATAAAATACATCAAACTTAATGTGAAATTTAATAGAACGCTGTTGGACCACAAAGCGAACTACTTCCGTCTTGAATGTGAACAAGTCATTACAGTATTTCATATATTTAATTTTAAGCCATGTTCAAACGAAAATTTGAATTTTGAATAAACAGTGAAAGCCCTACAACATGATCCACTTGAAATCTTCCAGATAACTGCCATCCTTTCTTCCCACTACTCAATCTGTCACTTTTACTTATCAAGATGGCAATCTGATATCTGAATCTTTTGGCTGCAAGAAAGGCAAAAATAAATAAAATTACCACATTGTTAGAAATCTAATACACACTGCTGGGTAAAAATGTGAAGAAATCCCCATAGTTATTTGTGCCTATCTAAACCCTACTTTCTCATTCATTCCCAAAGGCATAATATTGTAATTAACATTCCCTTAAACTCAGAATAAAATCTGACTTCTAATTATGTTGTCCTTTTGTACAAGTTTAAAATGGGTTTATTCAACCAGTTGTGGAGAAATCAGGCTCCCAAAGTCAGTCAGCTGGTTGAATAAACACATTTAAAATTGAGTCATTGTCTTTTATTTTACAAGCTTCAGATCAAATCAGTTTTTAAAGACAAAGTCTGAACTTTTACCTACTCCAATGCTCTCTCCATTGTTTCACTTAGTGTGATTGTGTTTAGATCATGTGAGAGTTAAAGGATGCGCTACAGGATGATTAATCTTGTGTTGTCTGTTTGTTATCCCTCACCAGGTGTATCTCACAGCTTGTCTCCATCTTGGGCACTGCTGCGAATTCCAGGTGAAGCTCCCATGCAGGGGATGAGTCTAAACAAACATTCCAGCAGAATCAGCTGTAGACAAAAGAA